GAATGATTGAAAAACTTTGTGGCAAAATAATGAAACGAAACGATTCTAGGTCCACTGAGAAGCTTGACAAGGCTGTCAAGCGGACGATACAGTGTTATCCACATAAAATCTCAGATTACTCGGTTTATGTAAACAGCACTTAGCCACTAAAAGCTTGTCAATCTGCCAAGATGCGTTCGGACTTTTACTCCGAGGAACCTTTACAGATTATTACACTCTCCTTGTGAGAGAGCCTTGGAGTTGTGCCCTAATTCATCGAATTAAGGTAAAATTATGATTCTTAACTTCGTAAGAGGTGACTGTATGAATCTTAAAAATGTATGAATGAAAGAGAAAAGGCGTCTTAAAAAATACGCTTACTTTTTTTCGTGAAACTCTATAATAGACCACTAGACAAGGTGCGATGTTCAGCATTCTGGTACATGTTTCTTGCTCAAAATTTAATGTACACGATTTGCGCAAGGAAAATTACTGAAATCAACTCCTAATCAAGATATTTAATGTTTCTTGACGCGTGAATTCAAACCTCCCGCTCATGAAAACACAATGGTCTACGTGAGTCAAATTGCGCGCTAAGCGTTGCCGCAACAATCTCTGCGGTGTAAAAATGTGGCAACCTCAAGCTCGGTGCTTTGGCTCAGCCGTTGCTCTTTGTCATTAAAAATAGAAGGAGGAGAGGGAACATTGCTCGATTAAGAGGTTTGCCAAAACTGTTGTTCTGTGGGCGATTTGACTCATGCAGAGTATTGAGTTTCTTGTGACCAAGCAATTCAAATTTCCCAAAACTTCATCTAAACTACTGAATCATTACAATGAGGATACATATTTTCTCTTTAATTATGGTAAAAACTTCAGCAGAAAGTCAAAATTGATGACTCGCAGTCCAACAGCGTTCCTATACATTCTTGTAGGCGCTAATATGCGTTTCAGGGCAACTGACCGACTGCACTGCGTTTGGCGCAATGTAAGAAGTATTCATACAATCTTGTAGGCGCTGATAATGGCTGACGCCGACCGCACTGTTTGGCGCAATGTGTGAGGTATTCCCACAGTCTTGCTGGCGCTAATATATTTATCGCCAGCTGCACTTGTCGGCGCGATTATGCCCTCGACAACCCTTATGCCTTTTTCGTACAATCCTTAAATATTTTCTTAGACCTTTCGTGCAATTCTGGATTACCGTTCATGATTTTGTCACTAATAAATTATAAATCAATTAACGACTCAACACCAAAACTTTCAATCCCAAGAAACAATTACATCATTTCGCTGCCAAGGACGCAGTTATGTGTCTATTAACATTGAACCATCGAACAGAAATGAAAGATACATTGCATATCGTGGCCTTTAAGTTAGTCTATTCGTCCCACTGGAAGTCCGGAGGTATGCCAACCGAAGATATGAGCTTAAATGAGGAGGGAGAAAAAGTCTCCACTCCTTTTACTCCATGGGCATGGAAGTCTTGCAGCAGGGGCACGTTTTTCCTCGCCTCTTTTACAAGCTGATATCCTTGGATTGACTTTTTTTTCGAAATTTCCAACTTGTAATCCAAATTTTTTCTCTCTTCCTTTAATAGGAACCTTTTACAATCTATTCACTTTTCATATTTGCTCTCTGACAAATACAACATCTGATCTTTCCAAACAACAATTTTGTTTCTGTGGCACCACAGCACACCATGATCCTTTTCTCCTCCTTTTTACTCTTCCTCCATTCTTACTCTTCTTCTTCCTTTTATTCTTCCTCGTATTTTTTAATACTCTTTTCTCCCTATGGTTTGAACCATACCTATGTACAAAAGTGCTAACTGTCATATGCTAAGGCAGCGATTTAAAATAAGCGTTTACTATTACTACTACTACTACTACTACTACTACTACTACTACTACTACTACTAGTACTACTACTACTACTACTACTACTACTACTACTACTACTACTACTACTACTACTACTACTACTACTACTACTACTACTACTACTACCTCTACTACTTCTTATACTCCTACTTCTACTATACTGCTTTTCTTCTTAGCGTGCCTTTTTTCATCTTCTTTAATCATTTTGTTTAAGAGATGTTTCCAATGGTTTGTCTCTCTCCCAAAAATCCGGCCCGGATCGTCGCAAAACAGTTCAAATAAAACATGATCGACCCGAAAAGTTTTTAACGTAAATACTGTTGAGCAAAACCGCCTCCGCAAGGTCCTTGCACATCTATTTAAACAGTGTAAGAACGTCGGGTAAAGTTCCTAACATCAATACCGCTGTGTATAACTACCGCCGAAATCGCTAACGATCAACTCTTCTCGCTCCAGGGGCGCGATCCGCCACGCCGCGCCGGCCGGATGACCAGACATGTCAACGTGAGCTTAATAAAAGGGGGGACGGGGGGTTCGAGCGTGCGGGGTACGGGGAGACAGGACCGCGGAGCAACAGGTGGTCGCCCGCCGGCCGGGCGAGTCCGCGACCATTCAGCGTTCGAAGTTCAACCCGCTGCCGGATCGACTTCAAATTCGTTACAAAGTTTAAGTAATAAACAAAGTGGTGGGATAGTGCTGAACTGAAAAAAAAATCTCTGTGTATTTACTAAGAAACGGGTAAAATTACCAAGAATTCAGGGTTCTATTTGATCCCACTTTTTTCTTGGTAAAATTACCATTTATGGAATTAGTAATTTTACCGAGAAATCTCGGTAAAATTATTGAACTTTCTCGGTAATTTTACTGGACCTTGGTAAAAACGCCAATATTTTTTATCGACTGTGGTAGAATTACCGAGATAAAATGGCAAAGTTACCGGGAATTGATTACCAATGAAAGTGGTATTCTTACCTGAAAAAAACAGTAAAAATACCGGTTTTTAGGTAAGCTTACCAGTCGGTCTTGGTGAAATTACCAATGATTGGTAAAAAAGTGAGATGGTACAGGTACCAACGGACCGTGGTAAAAACGCCGAGAATTTGTTTTCAGTGTTGGTCCACACTATTGTAAGGGGAAAGCAAGACCAAAAAGTTCAATAAATTTTAAGTAAGTAATCGATTAAGTCGGTGAATGGCGTATGACGCGTAACTGGATTTATGACGTTCCAGCTTTCTTGTCACGATTATATTTGGATAGATTTGACCAAATTACCCTAACTGCATTTCACGTTGCATGGTTTCCTCTCATGCTTATTTTTCAAACAAAGAATTAAACAACATGTCGTCTTGACACTTTCTTGAATTCTTCTCAGATCTTGAAGATTGCACTTAAAAAATTTCAAGTAAGAATGTTGCTTAATTTTCTGGAAAATAAATAAATCATGAGTTGAAATTAGGCAACGTTTGATTGAGTTACACTTATTTTGATTATGTCATAGTTAATTTACTCTTAGAAAGCAAATGAACTTTTACCAAACTTTCTTCTGTTACCCAAAAGATGAGATGTTATTTTACTTCCAAGAGCGGGGCTGTAGGTGTACCACCCCCCCCCTCTTTTTACTTCATAAGGGTTATGCTATAGCGATAATCAGCGATACTTTACGAGACGATTCTTCAGATGAAAACAATAGTTTCCTCCTTTTTCAATAGTAAAACCCCTTCCAAGAAATAGCCATCCCAACCCTAAAGTTTTATTAAAGCAATTGCAATTTGAATAACGATGAACTTTTTGAGAGCCACCTCGTTTATTATTGATCGCAATTGAAGGACTTGGAGGCCAATGCGCATCCGTGCAGTTTTTGATCTTCCGAGAAATACGTATTTGAAGTTTCGGAATTACAAGCATTCTTATGGCTAAAAGGGAGTTCAAACCGACTTTTAGATGCTTAGAATTCGGGATTCAAAGGGTTTTCTTGCCGATTAAGGATATATTTGAGTGAGATGGGATTTGAGAGGATGGTTAAAGTATCGGCAACTCAAAAGGTGCCTTTGCCCTCTCGTTGATTACATCCTTTATCGGCACGACAAGACGCACAACTCAGACCAACTCCATTTTCCTTAAACTTGTCTTATCCGATCAACAAACACAAAATCACAACAATCAAGTGGATTGCATTTTGCAAAAAGAAACCACTAGCATTGCAATGTTGCTAAGATTGTGCAACTTCTTTTGTCTTGGAGGAAAAACCCGATTATCCATTAACAGTTTCTATTTTACTCGCTAAAAATTGTAAATTTAAGACAAAAATTACCATCTAAATTTCATAGTTTTTCACGATTTCCGCAATTTTATTGCAAAAGATGAAGTTGCACAATCTTAGCATCATTGCAATGCTAGTGGTTCCTTTTTGCAAAATGCAATCCAAGTGTTGGGGAGGTATTCGTATCCGAGTATCCGCAAACAGAATCTACCACAGAAGTTCCGAAATACATACATAAAGCAGCTTATAAGCCCTGGATAGACGATCAAATTCCCGAACCGATTCCGATCAAAGTAGATCAAAGTGTCGGGATTCAGCAGTCTTGAACTCATTAATTTGCTTAATTTTAAAATGAAAACTTTGCAGAAATGTTTCCTGTGGCAGGAAATGATGAATGGTGGCACTTTATTCTGATCTTACTTTGAACAAAATAGTGCGGCCCGTCAAAATTTGATCGTCCATCAGTCATCAGCATGTCTACTTTGATCAGAATTGCTTCGGAATTTGATCGTCTATCCAGGGCTACACAGCACAGCCTCGCGCTCTGCGACTCCCAAACGCCATTGCCCCCAATCCTCTCAGAGATCATTAGGCAATTGACACCTCCAGATCCGAAAAGAAGAAGAAAGAAAAAGTTTCATAATTCGAAATGAAGTTCGCTTTGTGGGTACGCGTCTATCGATGAGCGTTGAACCGGTGGCAACGGTGGACGGCGACAGAAGCCGCAGAAGACGAAAGAGAGGCGTCTTGCCGGTGACTTTCTCTGAAAATCGGTGGCCGGCCGGCACAGCACCGGCTGCGGCTCGTATAGGTCTGGTCTGGCGCGGAGTCACGTGGCCCCTGATCGGTGGGCAACTCGCACAGCCGCCAGAGACGCGGCCGCAGCGCGTGGTAGTCGTGCGTCACTCGACAAGCCGCGAGGACCAGTGGCAATCAGTGATCAGTCCTCCTCCTCCTGTGTCGCGAGTGTTGTGCTGTGCTGTGTCTGTGCCCAGTGCTCCCCGCAGGACCCCCGGATTTTATCCTCGGCGGTAAGTCCCTCTACACTGAAGAAAATATGTTAGATTTTATCATATTCTGACACAGTGATTCGAGTATGGTAATAAATGCCAGACTCTATGGTGGCATTTGCCATATCGTGGTAATTATCACCATAGTTCTGATGAATACAACCATGATTCTGGTTATTTTCACTAAATGGTATCACTGTTTAAGAAATCAATATAATTATAGTAGATGTTACCATACACTGTTGGGTTCCTCCTGGGAGGAGACGTAGGGGACGCCCAGTGAGAGGTTGGCGACAGGGGGTGGTAAATGAGATGAGAGATTGTCAACTCCCTGATGACCTGTGGGAAGACCGAGCTTTGTGGCGATTAGGCGTCGTAAAGCGCCAAAGAGCGCTGTAAAAGCGACTTTTATATATATATCTTACACTGGAAAAAAACATTGGGTCTAGAGTCCAGACTCTTGAAAACATTGACAAGAAAAAATACTCTTGATTCAATCGGATTTTTGCTTGAATCAAAACGAAATCTGATTAAGTTAAGAGTCTTGGTTCTTGATTTAAGCTAGACTCTGATTGAATCAAGAGCACTTTTTCTCCTCGATGCTTTTAAGAGTCTGGATTCTAGATCCGATGTGNTTTTTTTTTTTTTTTTTTTTTTTTTTTTTTTTTTTTTTTTTTTTTTTTTTTTTTTTTTCCAATGTACTTTTTTTCAGTGTAAGTAGCAGTGTCTTACCAATTCATCTGCCCAAAAACGGAGAGTGCCTATCTTCTGAAGGTAGCATCGTTTACGTCAATTTTGAGAGGAAAAAGAATATTTTGTTGGGGTGGTCGAGAAGAGAGAAAAATCAACACAAAAACACGTTTTTTGCTTCAATCACTAGGAAGCAAAATTGACCGAGAACATGAACATTATAACCTGCAGCGAGCTGAACTTCGAAAAATCATCAACGAATGTGGGACCCATAAACGAAAGAACCCACCCTCGAACTCAGCACCGCCACTATCGCGCCAAAAGCTTTGCCGGTCGAAGAAAGTCAAAGAAAAAAATTATCATAATCCGCAGTGCATCAAATGGGCTACATTTTGCAATTAGGAACTACAATTCCTGAGCCCATCCGTAAATAAAATCATGTGCTCGGAGAAACTAATGGTACATACGTCGTTTCTAAACTGAGCCAGATATTGCAGTTCCAAATGATCAGATCATATTTCCTCATTGCAAGAGGGATGCCTATAGAGAAGAAACAAACCATATATAGTTGAAGCTGAGATCCCAAGGTGTTGCTTTTTTACGTGTTCAGAAAGTCCAATGGGGGAAACAAAAACAAATTAAACTTATTATCTCCAAGTATTTCGATTTTTTTTTGCAACTTTGAGATGGTCACAAGAACAAATATGCGATTAATTGAGCTTAAAATAACTCTTCACTCGATCTCTCTCTCTCTCTCTCTCTCTCCCCCTCTAAAATGCGGCTCGGAGCATTTCTACTTACATCGATCAAACCACAATAATCACATCTCTCCCTCGTCGCGCACCGCACGTTAGAGGGCGCGAAGCGTCCTCGGAGGGTTGGCCAGCGTAGCGGCCAAGGGACATAGCCCCCTAGAGTATAAAATATAAATATTTGCCCGACATTGACTAATACTGTAGAAGTATTTTCGAGCATAAAACGTCATGCAATGCTAAACCTCTTCATCCCCTCATCATCCCCATGCAGTCCGGTTAAGCTGAACCAGATGGACGTATTTATGCTAAAAGGAACTATATACATAGCGTTAACGTGCAACATAGTTCCTTTTAGCTGAAACACGTCCAGATTTTCTCTGCTCCTAGGGAATGACGTAAATCGAGAACGACCTCTTGACCATGAGGATGATGAAAATGTAAACTAAGTGGAAAACACAAGATTAGTCCGTCGAGCCGCGTTGAAAAAAAATAGGAGCAGGAACTGAAAATATGTTGCAAATATTAAAAAACAATTCCGCATAAAGTTGCGATGGGGGAAAGGGAGGGAGCTGGCGTCGGAGAAAAATTAACCTCAGTTGTAAACCGCACCGTTTTTATTCGCATTCTTCAGCCCACCTGTTCTTACTCAAAAATGCCGTGGCTTCATCAAACTTAGGTGATTAATTAAAATAATTGATCAGGTCGAATTGTCTCCTCGTAAAATAACATGTGGCTCAAGGTGATGCCTGTCGCATGTAACTTTTAGGTGTCTTTGTTTTATTATTAGCTCATTGAAGCGGACTTTTATATGAGTAGGGATATTCGAACAAACTTTTAAGGAAGAAACATGAAATTAACTGCAAGTTTGCTCAGCAATTATCAATATCATATTAGTCTCGTTTTGCCTGACCTTCTATTTAAGCATTTAAGAATTGGACCGAGCTCACCAGAATAGCGCCAAGCGAGAGGTTTGAAGCTTTATTCCTCCGCAAGACTCAAAGTTAAAAACGAATTTTAACGAATATTCCAACGTTCGAAATATTTGGTCCCAATTTTGAATTTTTGACGGGAGAAATTTACGGTTGCTTGAATCCATAGTCAATCCCAACTTATTGTTTTTCCAAAATGCGACTTGAGGCGTCTCTGTTAAAGTCAATCCAATCGAGCCTCTACAAAATCCAAGAAAAAACTAAATCAAAAAATGAAAGTCAATAAGTGCGCAAAAATTATGAACAGCTTGAGCGTACATCGAAGGAAATGTTCTTAAATGCCGCGAAGATAGTTCAATCAACTGGAAATCTCTTCTTAAGTGGTCGGATGTCTCTTTGATACAATGAACAGGAATTCTGCTAGTGTGTTTTCCGATCTCCGAAGGAAAAAAAGGTATTTTCGGCTTTTTCGAAATTCCTGCCACAGTAAGTTAAACAGGAATTCCTGATGGTCCAACAGGGACTGTCTCTCAGTTTCATTTTACAATTATTAGGTTGTCATTGAATTTTAGCTAACTGATTCATCAATAGCTAAAATTTCATAAGTTTACAGCAAAACTCTTATTTTGATCAAATTTTTGAAACGTTTCATGTCAGTCAAATACTTCTGGTGCCTCGGATTAAAATCTTTCAGTTAAAATGTGCCTTAATTGCTTTGAAAATGATTATTTTTCTAAAATTTAAATTAATTATTCAATGATTAATATGATGTCTTATGATAAAAGTATTCATACCACTATTTTGAAACGCCGCGCGCCGCACAAAATCAAATGGAAAAACATTTCCTCCATTTCTTTATCAAAACATTTACACGCACGCACATATCACAGCTCATATAAACACAGTTGATGCTTCATCACGCACAAAAACCTCGTGAAACGAAAGATATTTAACCAGGAAAATAAACAGAAAATATTCAGGTTTTCCCCCAAGAGTGGTAACATAGCCTGCAAAATAAAGCCGAAATCGGGACTAAGAGTCTCGCATTCTGGCAGCTGTCGGTTTTCACACGTACACTTATACATTGCTCATGGAAACTGGAAACGTGAAAAAATCGTCCGGGGCTGATTTTCGCATGGACTTGGAAATACGTAGTCTTATTCCCATTTTTCCATAGCCAGGAATGTTATTCCAGACAATTAGTACTCCATGCTTACCTTCGAGATCAAAATGTCACACATTGTTTTTAATTGAAACGTTTTTTGCTCCCCACAAAAAAGCTAAAATTTTGCATGGTGGTGGACATGAATTTTTTCCATGAATATTGCATGGTTAGATTTTAAAATTATTTTAGAAACCTAATAAGTTTTTTTATACATTTTTATTTTTTCAATGTAAAATTCGTCGTTTTCCTCATAAAAGAACGTAACCTCATTTCAGCGTTGTCAGATTTCCTCTCGCAAATTGCATACTAACCGGGAAAATCTTCGGCATTTCTAACTGATAAGTTAACTGATTTTCTCTCAGATCTCATGCAAAAATCAGAAAGCTCTCGGATACATTACACAGGTAATTTTCTGAACAAATTAATTGTTTGATTCAATTTTGGCAACCTCGGAATAGAGTTACGTTCCTTCATTCGGGAGAATCTTGGGCATTTCTAACTGAAAATCTACTTGATTTTCCTTCAGATTTCATGCAAAAATCAGAAATCTACTGGACACATTGCACACGCAATTTATTTTAAAACAAATTAATTGTTTGTTCAATTTGGCAACCTCGGAATAAAGTTACGTTCCTTCGTTCGGGCGACGACGAATTGGTATTAAAGCTCCCCTCGTCAACTTGCGCCTCCCTCGTCGCGCTTCTTTTTTCTCGAATTTTTCTCCTTATTTTCGCTCCAATTTTTTCCCCTCCGTCTTCTCCCTCTCATTGTTCGTCGAGTCTGTTGTCGTTCACCTGAAACCCAACAAGGCACTTGACACGGCGGGCGACGGGTGGCACAGAAACGCGTGCAATGTGACGGCGATAATTACGCAAGGAGCAGCGTGCCGGATGGCGAGAAAATTCAAAATTCCACCTTCTCCAACTCTGAACCGGGTTGCGTCGGTTTTAAGGTTAAGTCCGTCAACCTCGACACCCGGCTGGCGTCGCGTTCCACTAGAGGTTCGAACATTTGTAAAAATTATTTAAATAGCTCGCGTCGCTGACCTGCCTGAATCCGTAATTTCATGAAATCTGGAGCGAATTTACAAAAAGGGCTCCAAGACACGCGGAGAGCATACCTATTAAAGACGGGCTGTCAACAATTGGCCAGAACACAATGTTGGAATTAAGGCACTTGGTTGTATAAACAACTCGCGACGAAATGAGTGACTTTATAAGGAAAAGTAATCTTAAAAAACTTTGAGATTTGAAAAATATTGCAATGGAAAAAAAAACACATTGGATCTAGAGTCCAGACTCTAAAAAACATCGACAAGAAAAAATACTCTTGATTCAATCGGATTTTTGCTTGAATCAAGAACAAAGCCTCTTATTAATTTGAGCGGATTTCCTTTTGATTTAAGCAAAAATCTGATTGAATCAAGAGTATTGTTTCTTGTCAATGTTTTCAAGAGTTTGGACTCTAGATCCAATGTGTTTT